TTTATGTGGTACTGTATTGAACCAAAGGCTTCATGGAAGCACTCTACCACTAAGCAACATTCACAGCCCCAAACTTTTTTTTCCAAACGTTTTTTTAATATTAAAATACCTACCAATAAAGCTAACCAAGAAGAATAAAGACCTCTACCATGAAACTTACACAACACCAAAGAAATTGATAGGACAGACCTCCCATGTTCATGAGTGGGCAGAGTTAAAACTGTTGAGCTGCTTGGAATGTGTGGGTATTTAGGAAGAGAAGGGCAGGAAGTGGCGCTGTGGCTCAAAATGATAGAGCGCTAGCCTTGAGTACAAAAGCTCAGAGACAGCGTCCAGGCATTCAGTTCAAGTCCAGGACAACCTCCAGCCATCAAAATGGGGGGGGGGGAGGGGAAAGAATGAAAGAAAGAAAAGAAAAGAAAGGGGAAATAAAAGGGAAGAGAAGGGAAAGGAACCGGTTGGAATCAGCCTGTGTGAATGCTCTGTAGCTGTCAGGGTTGAGGAGCCTTTAGTTGGCTGCTCTTTGACCCTGAGGCAAGTAGAGTCTCAGCAATTGAATCAGGTGGGTTGGATAATTTGCATAGCAAAGGTGCTCACTGGAAATTGTATTACTTTCTTTTTTTCTTGTTTTTGTCCTTGTGGGGCTTGAACTCTGGGCTTGGGCGCTGTCCCTCAGCTCTTCAGCTCAAGGCTAGGGCTCTACCACTTGAGCTACAAAGCCACTTAGGGTTTACTAGTGTATTTTTCGAGAGAAGAGTTTCTCCAACTTTCTTGCCCAGGCTGGCTTTGAACTGTGAACCTCAGATCTCAGCCTCCAGAGTAGCTAGGATTACAGCCATGAGCCACTGGTGTCCGGCTGTTCTTTTGGTTGCTAACCTTGGGAAGAATATTTCTTGCCTAGTTTGCTAGGTTCTGAAGTCAAACTGTCATTGCAGTTAAAGCACTCTAACCCAAACATTTCAAGGTTAGCTTGGTGCAGGCCAGGCCTCTGGGAGGGCAGGGGTCTAGTCCCTGCACTTCCTTGTTCCTCATTGCTTATATTACACTCCTCCCCCTCCCACCCCCAGCCAGGAATGTGTCAGTATGAAGCCCAGGCTGGCTTTGAACTCATTCCTCCTGTCTCCACCTCCCCAGTGCTGGGATTACAGGCATGTGTCATCACACCTGCTGGCCCACACTGCTGCAGGATCTGCCCTGAGTCTGGGTGGAAGTTCTGCCAGGCCCAGAGCCAGCTAAGTAATGCTGCCCCTGCTTCCATGCTGACATCTCACAGCATGATGTCTACTCAAGGCAGCAAAGGCTGACACATTTCACTAAAACAGGAGGTAAGCAGCAGATCTTTTACTTATCTCTTTCTATCACTCAGTCAGTGTCTCTTTCTCTTTCTCTGTCTCTCACAACTTCCTCTCTCCTCTCTCCATCTGTCTGGAACCTAGGGCTTCTTACAAACTGAGCTTGCTTGCCTAGCTGGCACTCTACCACTAGAGCCACAAGTTGAGTCCAGCCTTTTTACTGGTTACTTGAAGATGAAATCTCTCAGATTTTACTGTCCAGGCTGGCTTTGAACTATGATCCTCACATCTCAGCCTCCTCAGTAGTTAGGATTAAAATAGTGAGCCAGAAGTGCCTAGCCAGTGCATAGTTTTTTTTAGTAACTTCAGTAAGATATACTTCACATAAAACAACCATTTTAATCCCTCAGCATTAACCAATTCACAGTATTAAAAAATAAATCATATTATATTTCATTTGAAAGGTATTAATATAATGTAAATTGTACTATTTCATTTACATTACTATATATTTTCTCCTTCCTGAGTCTTGAACTGAGGGCCTTGGCACTGTGCCTGAGCTTCTTTGGCTCAAGGCTAGGTTAGCAGTCTACACTTACACCACAGTCTACTTCAGCTTTTTCTAGTACTTTATTGGAGATAAGAGTCTCATAGCCTTTCTTGTCAGGGCTGGCTTCCTCCTGAGTGCCTAGGATGACAGCTGTGAGCCACCAGCCCCTGGCTGATTGTCATGATTATAAAGCTAACTACTCAGGAGGCTGAGTGCAGAAGTTTCAAGGTTTGAGACCAGCCTGACCAGAAAAGTTGAAGAGACTCTTTCTCAGAAATTACAGGAAGGGGCTGGGAAGGTGGTTCAGTGGTAGAGCGTTTGCCTCGCATGCATGAGGCCCTGGGTTCGATTCCTCAGCACCAAATAAGCAAAAAGAAAAAATCTGGAAGTGGTGTTGTGGCTCAAGTGGTAGAGTTCTAGTCTTGAGTTGAAGAACTGAGGGGCAGCGCCAGGCCCAGAGTTCAGCCCCCACGACAGGATCCCCCCCCCAAAATGTAAAAAGTTACAGGAAGATATAATAGGGCTCCACGTGAGTGTCAAGGGGGAGAGCACCAGCCTAGCAAGCTGGACACCTGAGTTCCAGCTCCAGAAACAGCGCCCCTCCGCGGGCCGGCCGTCAATGGGCGGGTGGCGCCCTCTAGCGTCGCGGCTCCCGCACAGCCCTGGTTGCCAGCTTTGCAGCGCTGTTGTGGGGCAGATGCCAGCTTAACTTTCACTGTGGCCTCTGCAGCCTTCCTCCTCCTCCAGGCCTGCAGGTCGGTTGCCTCTGACTCCAGCCGCCAAGGGCCCCGTCCTCGCCTCCCCGCCGAGCAAGCCCGCTCCTGTTGCCGCGATGCACTGTGCCCTCCCCGCTGCCTCCCGCCCCGCCCGCAGCTGCTGTCCACCACCCAAAGCCAATGCTGCTCCTTGTGGGTTCCAAGCTGCCTGGCTGGAGGCCTTCACTCCAGGCAGCTGGACATGGGGCGGGGACGGACTCCAGCAGGGAAGGAAAATCTCTGCCAACACCACAGCACGTTCAGAGGAAGGAAACTTTCACCGCGGGGCTTGCCAAGGTCTAGCAGAAATCATGCTCCAACAGACCTTAACAGTGCTCCAACAAAGCTCCACTCTGCCTGTGCTCCCGGTCGCAGGGTCCCTGCCTCTGCTTCTGGAGCTGGCGCTGCTGGTGTTGGTGGGGATGGTGGTGGGGGTGGAATCCCGGGGTCTGGCTAGAACATGGGTGAGGGTCATGTGTCCATAGGGCCCATGTGAGGATGAGCAGGTGTCAGGCATGGATTGTTAAGGAAGCAGATCATCATCATCCACCTGCCTTGCTGGGCTAGTCCTGCTTGCTGCCTCTTAAAACAGTGCTGAAGCTGATCTCAGAGTTCTGCCTTCTTTTGCAAAAAATACTGTATCCTGTCATTGCTGGGTTTTTTTGTTTCTTTGTTGTTGTTGTTGTTGTTTACACATTCTGGCACTTTTCTTGTTCTCTCTGCATGTTAAGCACAGAACATCATTAGATTTCCTGTCTCAGCTGCTGCACTCAGGTTCTGGTCTTTCTTCCTGTCTCATTGCTTAAGGATTGGGAAGCACTTCCCTAGGGCACAAAGAATCTCCTTCAGATCAGGGCTGAGTGTAAATGACTTTATTAGGTGAGCCAAACCCTAGAGACTGATAGGGTCATAACATACTCTTCCAGAGGGAATTTTCTTCTACTTTCATTTTTATAGGGCTGGGATTTGTACCCAGAACCTAGCACAAGTCCTCTTCCACTGAGCTACATCCACAGACCTTGGTTATTCACTGAGGCACTGGTATGTCATAGCTGTATTCCTAGCTACTCAGGAGGCAGAGATTTGAGGATTGAAGTTTGAGGCTAACCTGAACAAGAAAGTCTGTGAGTATTACCTTCAATTACCTACCAACAAATCCAGAAGTGCAACTGTGACTCTAGTGATAGAGTGCTCGCCTTGAGAGAGAGAGAGAAAAAAAAAAGAATCAGGGACAGTGCCCAGGCCCTGAGGTAAAGACCCAGGTCAGCCACAAAATAGTTTTTTGTTTGTTCATTTGTTTATAAATTACTCAGCATTATGGCACCGACTGGCCTTGAACTTGCTATGCAGCTCATGCTGGCCTCTGACCATACTTGTCCCACCTGGTGTTACAGACAGGCCCCACCACACTGGCACCAGAAGAATGTGTTTTGCTGAAATGAATGATGCTAATGTGTTGTGAGTTTGATAATGCTACAAGTGCAAATTCCGGGTGGAATCTGGGAATGCTGAGACTTATTACTCACCCAGAGCTGGGAAGCATTTGGAAATTCCTTTCCTGGGTAGCAACCGGAGTTTGTGTGTGACACTGCAAATATCTTTCTAGAACAGAAGTGCCAACCTATCACAGAGGACTTTGAAAAGCAAGAGAAACTGGGGCTGATGGGGTCAGGTGGCCAGGATAGTGAGAACTAGGGAGACAGCAGGAGAGTGCACTGAGCCCAAGAGACCACAGCTGCTCATGGGTTCCCAGGGGAGAATGAACCACAAGCTGACCTGCACAGGGCTGCAGCACAGCAGGGAGCAGCCTGCAGGTGGCAGGCCTGTCCCTGGACACTGGCCCAGCTAGATGTGCACAGAGAGGTCTCCTTGAGGGAAGGGGTTCCCCGTGTTCTGGGCAGTGCAGCCCAGGGGTTGGCAGGCAGAGGACACTTCATCAATGTTAGTTGCTGGAAGGAAGGAGCCCTGTTGTCTGCATTGCAAAGTGGAGAAATGACAACCCCAAGCCCTTCTAGCTCTCCTTCCAGTTGCTCAGATTCTTCTCATACCTTTCCTTGCACTTCTCAGCATCCCTGATAACTCTTGTATATTCTGAACTGCTTCAGATTTATTACATTCTCCGTGTGTGTGTGTGTGTGTGTGTGTGTGTGTGTGTGTGTGCTGATCCTGAGACTTGAACTCAGGGCCTGTCCCTGAGCCTTTTTACTCTAGGCTAGTCCTCTACCACTTGACTCACAAGATCACTTTCAGCTTTTGGGGGGTTAACTGGGGATGGAAGTCTTCAGGACTTCCCTACCTAGGCTGATGCCAAACCACAATCTTCAAATCTCAGCCTCCTAGGTAACTAGAATTAGTGATGTGAGCCACCAGCACTTAGCTCAGACCTGAATG